AGACTTTTTTCACTCCAGAAGATACTCAGAGTTCATCATGTAGCTAAGGCCCTGCAAACTTCTAATTCCTCCTCACAGAAGAATTGAGGCTGGAAGGTACTTCTGGGGATCACCTAGTCTAACTCCTCTGCTCAGGCAGGGTCACTTAAAGCGTGTTGCTCAGGGCTGCACCCAGATGACTTTTGAATATCTCCAAAGATGGAGACTCCACAACCTCTCTGGGCAGCCTGTTCCAGTGCTGTGTTACCTTTTCAGTAACCTTTTACCTTACGTGCAGAGAGACCTTCTGTGTTTCAGTTTGCTCACTGCCTCTTGTTCTGTCACTGGTCAACACTGTGGCCGTGAGACTACTGAGTTCAGTACTGGCAAGTGGTTTGCCTCAGCAGAGTACATGGGTGTCTGCTGTTTGCTGAGTGTCTTTGGAGGGGGTCTGTGATGCTAGCTACCTGCAAGAGTATGGGCCCAAGCTTTGATCACACTAATAGTTGTAGGGTAGCTATATCCAGAGAGGGCAACAAGGGTAAACAGGAAAACAACAAAAGGAATGGACAAGCATCAATAGACCAGAAGAATCACTAGCCAAATGAGGAGATGTATGTGAATCCCATGACCCTTCTTCACCACGGTGTCTTGGAGGCCTGTCTTCAAAACAGAGGTGGCTACCACCATAGGACCTGGAGCAAACCCTTCTGAAGTCAGTGCAGAAGCTGATACAGTGTTTCTCAAGACATCTGTTGCAAAAGTGAAGCTGGATGTTCAAGCTGGTTTCCTGACCATTGCAGGCTCCTTTCTCTGCGATAGAGACTATATGGTGACTTTCAATGTCCACGAATGGAGATTATACAATGGCTTCACAAATTGTCTAATTGGTCACCAGTGAAATGAAATCCATGCAAATGGTGTTTCAAAGAGTGCCTGCTATTGCAGCCATATGTCTTTTAAACTGTAAAAGAATAATTCTGGGCTGGACAGAGGAACATCTAAAGGAAAATCAATCAAAGCTATTATTTCTTTATGTTTTCTTCTAGTTGCAGAGTTATGCATCAAAAATATCTCCTGCAGCTTGGTGTGCACAAAAGAAATGCATGTAACTGGCAGAAGAAAAAAAAAAGGCTGGTAGGAATGGAGTGATTAAAATATTCCTCTGACCTATGTTTAAAAATAAAGACGTCTTGCACTTATCTCCCATCTATCTGTTTCTGACATTAAGTGTCTCCATATGACAAGCTTAAGCAGATGCCCATGTTTCATAAAAAGATTCCTTTCCGTCTTCCTATGGACAGAAAGTTTTACAGAGACAATACCTTATTTAAAGCACATAGTTTAAATATTTTTCAAATTCTTTGCAAAATATACTCAATGGCTTCCAACCACACCTTGTATTCTTAATGAATCATGAATAATGAGGATCAACATCTATATTGATGTTGATCTTAAAATAGGTGTTGTTACTGGATTATCAGAGAACCTGAGATATTCAAACATTTAACAACTTATTGGTAGCCAGTGAATTTTTAATGACCAAATTCTGCTTACAGATCTGTAGGATGATTATCAAATCTAGGATCTGTCCTTCCTATAGGTACCTAATCATGAGTGTGAATCAGGATTATCTCTGAACTTGAGATAAGCATGTGGACTTAAGAAAATAAAAAATATGCTTAATATATCTTTCACCTGTACCCCAAAGCTGGAATGAGGCATCCTTCTGCTGGCTTTCTATTTTGGAGTAAAAAGAAATTTCACTGGCTCATCCAAAACCTGGATATATTATTTGAAGTGTACTTGGACAGCGTTTAAATGAATGTTTACTGATGGAGGCCAAGAAGGAAGAGTAACTCATTTCCATGAACTCTCAGGGGGAATAACTCTCAGGGGTGTATTGATGACACTTCTGGGAAAGTTGTTGAGAAGTAGAGCCAAGCAAGTCCAAGAGAAATACAGACGCAAAGTAAAGGCAGACAAGTTTGAATTCCTGAATATCTCATGCACAAGTGAGCAGTTTACAGAATCTGACAATTTTAAAGAAGGAAATTGTTTAAAAGCTCACTTCTGATTGTATATGCATTTTCTCTCCTTTTGGCAAAATCTGTGGATATGAACAAGCAGGTGGGAGAGGACCACTGCATGTCTAAAATTAGGACTAAGCATTGCAGAGAGGATCTCAGTGAAGATGTTCACAGTGCTTCTGTATGTCCTGCTGGCATTTTCTTTGCATTCCAGGCAGTATGGATTGGAAAACTGTGCCAGTAACCTGGCAGTATTACTAAGGCTAAATATTATGGTAGAGTGCCTACTGAGATGTCTGTGTGAGAATAATAGGCAAAATGAAATGAGAGAAAGCTATGATTTGAGCCTGATTTGAAGGAGTGCTTCATTTCATTTTCTTGCTGTGGTTCTCGGTTTGAGTGTCCAAAAAATAACTGCGCAAAGAGATGCTTCTAAAAGAGAAATAAAAAGGGACGCTGATTGATATTTATTAGACAAAAAGTTTCAACCAACAGCATTAACAGCTCTTTTTTCATAGAGCTCAACCTGAGGGTGGATGATGAGCGAGTTGAGAGCTTGTGGATAAGGGTTAAAGGGCAGGGTAACGTGGGAGACATTGTGGTGGGTGTCTGCTACAGGCCACCTGACCAGGACAAGGAGGTTGATGAGGCCTTCTATAGTCAGCTGGATGTTGCCTCATGGTCGCAGGCCCTGGTTCTCATGGGGGACTTCAACTACTCCGACATCAATTGGAAGGACAACACAGCCAGGCACAAACAGTCCCGGAGGTTCCTGCAGTGCATTGATGATAACTTTTTGACACAGGTTGTGGAGGAGTCAACGAGGAGAGGTGGTCTACTCCACCACTGGAGAACAAATAGAGAGGGACTTGTAGGAGATGTTAAGGTGGGGAGTAGTCTCGGCTGCAGTGACCTGCGTGGATGAGCAAGGAGCTTGTGGCAACGCTCAAGCAGAAGAAGGCGGTATACAGAATGTGGAAAAAAGGACAAGCCTCCTGAGAGAAATACAAGAGTGTTGTCAGGGAGTGCAGAGATGTGACAAGGAAAGCTAAGGCACGTTTGGAATGCAACCTGGCAAAGGATGTTAAAAATAACAATAAAAACTGCTTCAAATATATTAACAGCAAAAGGAAAATCAGGGAAAACATGGGTCCACTGATGAAGGGGGTGGGTACCCTGGTTATGAAAAATACAGAAAAAGCAGAGTTGCTGAATGCCTTCTTTGCTTCAGTGTTTACCAAGGGCAGCCCTTTAGAGTCCCAGGCCCTAGGGACAAGAGAAGAAGCCTGGAGAGAGGAAGACTCGCCCGGGGAAGAGGAAGATTGCATCAGAGAGCACCTAAGGAAACTCGATACCCACAAATCCATGGACCCTGATGGGATGCACCCCAGAGTGCTGC